TGAATAACGAAGAGAGAGGAGATGATGAAAGACTCACCGGATCGTCGGAATTCGTTGTCGTCGAGTAGCAAGCACAGTCCTCGCAAACTTTGTGTTGACACTCGCAGCAGATCCTCGAGGCTTCTTCGGGGGCGAACGACTTCCGGCACACTCTGCAATCGTCCCCGGTTTTCGACTTCCTGCAAAAATTCGAGAATCGTTCTGTGAATCTTTTCGATAGAAATAGAGGCGATCATTTTAGTTGATGGAGCAAACTTTTCGAATTGCTGGTTATTTTTGTCGTTGATTTTTATCCTTGTTCAAGTGTCGAATCTTAGAATTCTTTCGAGTGGGAATTGTTTCGATAGAAACAGAAGCAATCGTTTAGAAACGAGAAATCGTTGGAAAAATTTGAATTGCTAAGTATCGTTGCCTATTTTTATCCTCGTAATATTCAAGTTTTGAGTTTTAGAATTCTTATAAAAGGGAATTATTTCGATAGAGACAAGAAAACTTTTTGAATTGCTAAGGTGTCATTGCCTATTTTTATCCTCGTAATATTCAAGTTTTGAGTTTTAGAATTCTTATAAAAGGGAATTATTTCGATAGAGACAAGAAAACTTTTTGAATTGCTAAGGTGTCATTGCCTATTTTTATCCTCGTAATATTCAAGTTTTGAATTTTAGAATTCTTATAAAAGGGAATTATTTCGATAGAGACAAGAAAACTTTTTGAATTGCTAAGGTGTCATTGCCTATTTTTATCCTCGTAATATTCAAGTTTTGAATTTTAGAATTCTTATAAAAGGGAATTATTTCGATAGAGACAAGAAAACTTTTTGAATTGCTAAGATGTTGACTACTTTTATCCCTTGTTCAAGTATCGAATCTTAGAATTCTTTCGAATGGAAATTGATTCGAGAAACAATCGTTTAGAAACGAGAAATCGTTGGAAAACTTTTTGAATTGCTAAGATATTGTTGCCTATTTGTATCCATGTAACGTTCCAAGTTTCGAATCTTAAAATTCTCGCGAGTGGAAATTATTTCGATAGAAACAGAAACAGTCATTTTAAAAATCGTTGAGAAACTTTTTGGATTGCTATCGTTGCCTATTTTTATCCTCGTAATATTCAAGTTTTGAGTTTTAGAATTCTCTTATGGAAAAGGAATAAAAAAAACAATCATTCGTTCGATTGCAAGAACTTTATGAATTACTGCTGGCTATTTTTATTCTTGTAATATTCGAGTTTTGAAATTTCTGTGAATGGAAATTATTTCGATGGGAGCAATCATCGTTGGAAAACTTTTTTAATTGTTAAAGTACTTTTGCCTATTTTTATCCTCGTCGAGTTTCGACTCTTGGAAAACCCGTGAATGGGAATTATATAGAAATGAAAGGAAGCATCGAAAAACGGGAAATAGTTCGGTTGAGAAGTTTTTCAAGATACATTTCTATTTTCATCCTTGCTTGGATAAAAAAAGTTCGGTAATGAAAATGCTCACGTTTTCGTTGATTCCGTGGTCGTTTCTTCTTTAGGTTGAGTCTCCTCGACTGGCGTCACTTTAGCGGGACCGAATTTCGTCACTGTAAAAAAAAACGGAAGCAAATTTGTAATGAAATCTTCGTTAATTAAAAATAAAGCGTGGAATTGGCATTCGAGGAAAAATAGCCGAAACGAAACGTTTCTTAATTCCCTATTCATTAAACCGATGAAAAAAGAATACAACGCGATATTTACGCAGATTAATATTCCTTTGTCCCCAACTTTCGCGATAAGGTTTCGAAAATAAAGCGTGTAGCCGCTCCCGTGACAAGAATATACGGAAACTCTTGCTTTGTGAGATCACTGTTGAAAATTCAACAGGGATATACCGATAAAGAGACTTGCAAATTTGAAGAAAAAAACCGAACTTGTAAATAAAGGGATCGATCCAAAAGATACATTGGTTGAATCGAATTGCAAAATGAATATCTTAATAAATTTTAACGATGTTATATTATCGTTACATTTTATGATTCTATGTTCTCGTCGACTTTGACTTTTACTTTTTCTTTTATTCGAATTATAATTCGGATAGGTTTGAAATTTAATCAGGAAAATTACCAAAAATTTGAACGGAAAAATAATTAGAAAAAAATATCTATCTATAAGATGTATTTCTATTTTTACCTAGTAAAATTTAACAACACCGAAAAATATCCAATTACACCGTTTCTTCATCGTTACTTCCCAAATTACCATCCTCATTAGTGAAACCTCTCTCCCTCTCTCCTTCTCTCTCTCTCTCGAGCGTTAATCTGCTAAATTCTTCTCCGCCCTTCGTTCCTTCCAAGGGTTTCGACGCTTCTAAACGAAGAGGAAAAATCGTGCCCCTCTCAGGCCCTTATCTCAAGATTATTTAACGACTCTCTCTTTCTCTCGGTTAACTAAACTCTCTCGAGCCAATGGGAGCTTTAACTCGTTATTACCGTGATCCTATAGAGGAGAGGGGACGCTCGTAAAGGGGAGAAAAAAAGAAGAAAAAACGGTTGCTCGAATCGAAGCCTCGATTCGCAAATCTTCGAAACCGACGATAAGAATTAAGCCTCGGGCCTACAAGGTCCTCGAGTGTTACAAAGTCGAAGTGAAAGGAAAACTCTTTGTCGAGAGAGAGAGAGAGAGAAGTTGCAGAAAGACAAAGAAAATGTTCGAAGGAAAGAAAAAAATGTTTCCCTCTTCCTCGTTATCCAATTAACCTAATTGCCCCCGTTTTGGACTGAGGACTGGACGAAACTATGAAAATGGAACGAACGAGTAAGTCGGTTGCGTCCAAAGTCGAACGAGATCGAGCGTTGTTAAGATGGCGTGTCTGGTGTCTGGTGTCTCCGACCAATTACATTTTTCGTTGCGAATTACTACGCGTTTTTCTACGCCGCCCGAGTTTTAATATCGTGAGTGGTGAGACGTCTGATATTCCGTGTCGACGGGACATCAGCGCTTGGAATAGCGCGGTTTATCGCGCAAAATGGCCGAAAATGGCGCGACACGTCGAGAGGAGTAGTTGTTTCCCGCGAAAATCGATGGATTTTCCTCGATCGTATTTAATTTTCCTTCCTCCGTCCTCGGTTTTGTCGAACGAATTCAAGAATTGTAAAATAATTACGCGATATATAAGAACAAGATACACGTTTCGTTGACAAAATTGGAATCGATTCCAATATGTATTTAATTCTCGAAATTGATAAACGGCGCGTAGATCTGTCGAATGATTACGTTTTAATTACGACAAATGCGTAGAATCCATTTTATTTAATTTTCCTTCTCTCCTTCTCATTTTCGAACGAATTCAAGAATTGTAAAATAATTATGCGATATATAAGAAAGAGAATACATGTTTCGTTGGTAAAATTGGAATCGATTCCAATATATATTTAATTCTCGAAATTGATAAACGGCGCGTAGATCTGTCGAATGATTACGTTTTAATTACGACAAATGCGTAGAATCCATTGTATTTAATTTTCCTTTTCCCCTCCTCATTTTCGAACGAATTCAAGAATTGTAAAATAATTATGCGCGCGATATATAAGAACAAGAGAATACACGTTTCGTTGGTAAAATTGGAATCGATTCCAATATGTATTTAATTCTCGAAATTGATAAACGGCGCGTAGATCTGATTGTACGTTTTAATTACGACAAATGCGCAGAATCCATTGTATTTAATTTTCCTTTTCTCCTTCTCATTTTCGAACGAATTCAAGAATTGTAAAATAATTATGCGATATATAAGAAAGAGAATACATGTTTCGTGACAAAATCGATTTCAATATATATATTAATTCTCGAAATTGATAAACGGCGCGTAGATCTATCTGATTGTACGTTTTAATTACGACAAATGTGCAGAATCCATATTTAATTTTCCTTCCTCGTTTTCGTCGAACGAATTCAAGAAATGCGAAATAATTACGATATATAAGAGCAAGAGAATACATGTTTCGTTGACAAAATCAATTTCAACATATATTTAATTCTCGAACGCATGATCGTACATTTTAATTACGACAAATGCGCAGAATCCATCGTTTTTCGGGACGAACGAAGATATTTCTTAAAAAATAATTCGATTATCCTGCCTAAATTGGGCGCTATCTCTCGAAGAGATTCTCTTTACATAGAACAAGAACTTCTTCTCTAAATAATAACTCTCCGAGAAGTACCCGCTGCAACTGACTCCTCGCATCTTTCCTAAGAACATATATATATATCCTTGCACCTACCATATTCTCTCTATCTCGTTCACAATCAGTTTAACGAAAGTCTGCAAACATTTCTTAGGAGGACGTTTCAGTCACGTTCGTTCTAAAACGTGTGGCCAAAACGGCCCCCTCTCTCATCCTGATCACGATTCAGTCCACGTTCCCGTCGCTCTCAAAAACTTTGTAACTTACCTCCACTGGATCCAGGCAAAACGCCTATTTTTCCCCCCCTCGTAAACAATCGTCGTAACAATCCGAATTCTCCAGATCGAGTCCAGATCGAGACGAAATTTGTTCCAAGTTTACACTTGGAAGAGAGGGTCGCGAGTGGTCGTCGAAAACAAGCGCAAACAAGCCGGATTACGGAAGGATGGAGACGACTGGATGGAAAACGGAGTGGAAATCCTTCCTGCTGGATAAACTCCTCGTTCAGGGATTCAGGATCGAGAAAGATCGTTCGTGGGGATCTCTTCCCCTTCGTTGCTTCGAGAACGAGCAGTGTTTCGACGCGGGAATGAACCGTCTAATTAACCTAAAAGTTATCCTTCTCTCCCCCTTTTCTTCTTCTTCTTCTTCTTTTTCTACTTCTTTTCCAGGCGAAGCGAAATTTATCGCCAGGCTTAACTCCTCCCCGACTCCATTTCACGTACCATCGCCTCTACCTTGTTTTCACGTCCCCCCCCAGTCGTCTCTAACGGCCCACTTTCCCCCGTCTAATTGCCACGTTGAAATATCGCGACAATAGTTTCGATTTGCATCGTTGATCCGGATTATCGAAGGAAGGAAGGAAGGAAGGAAAAATTTCCAAGTTTCGAAATAAGGGCTTTTGAGACGCGATTCAGGATTCGACGATGGGGGAATTATTTAATAGTTGAAGTTAGAAGTAATAATTGGAAATAATTATATGAGAAGCGGATCGATTATAATAGAATAAATGTTATTATCGATTATGTAAAGTTTATTCGAAATTTTTGATTATTTATTTTTTTCAAGTCTGTTGTGATTCGCGAAAGAATTGTATTAAGTATGCATATCGATTTAATGTATATATATATATATATATTTATTGCATTATAGAATGTTAAAAATGAATTTAAAAACTTCAATTTTGCAGGTATATTAATGACAATAGGTATTATGGATACAATTCGTAAATATATTGATGCGAATGGAATGATGATTGTGTAAAATTTCGTTTATAGAATTGGGTTGGGCATTGATTATTGCTCGAAACCGGTGTAATCAACCGTCGCTGATTGCGATCTATTACGGATTTTGTATCCCATACGATGCACGATTTTTAATTAAAAAAGTTCTTGATGAGGTAAGGAAGTTGAGTTGGGATCGACGATAAAAAAGAAAAAAATACCATTGCTACGAGATAGGAAACGGACGATTCTCTCTTGTCCACGTTTTTTAATTATGCGAAAAAGAAAGGGGGGGGATGGGGAGAGAGAAGAAAGAAAAAAAGAAGGATGATGGTGATGATGATGATAATCTAAGAGCTGAAGAGACGATTCTTTTCCAGGAATTAATATAATTCTCGAGTATCTGAAGGGTATCTCGAGGATGGCTTTTAATAGTACTCTCGTCTATTTTGGTTAACGATCCTGCGTTCAACAGAGTGTTCTTGGAGATAGGAAATAAGACTCGTTGAGAATTATAGAATGAAATATATATATTGGAAAATCAATGGATCGAAATATTTTCCACTCGCTGTTTCGAAAAACGCGTGTTAGAATCTCTAAATGAAGTTAAACGTTGTCAAAGCCCTCGTTAGCAACGAACAATTGACCGATTAAATGTACGATATAATTGTCCGTGGTATTTAAATGCTTCGTAATTGTATCGCGATTAATTATAATTAATATCTCAATGGGTTCCCTTTTTGTTACGTTATTTGTACAAACGTGATAATTATACCCGTTATCGCGACGAAATTTATTCGTACGTACGTTATTCATGCATAGGTTTCGTTTTTCGACCGCAACCGTCGGAAAAATTAATAACGGAATAAATATTATACCGGAAGGAAAAAGGAAGAAACAATTGAGAGGAACTTTTACTTTTTCATCTCTCATCGAGCAAAATATCCTTTTATTTAAGATCTCGTCCGGGTGTAATTAAATTTTTTTCCCCCTCCAACACTTTTTTTTTTTTTTTTTAGATAACACATTACGCATGCATACGAAACTATGAGATGAGAAAATTCACTTCATTCCCCCTTTTTATCGAGTTAATGAATATTTTTCTCGGTCTCGAAGTTGTATAAGCCAATTAATTCGAGGAATTGCGGAGAAATTTATCACGAAACGAAATTTTTTATCCCCTTTTAATCAGCT